ATAGGTTGGTTTATTGCCATTTTATTTTATTTCTGCTATATAAAAACCAAGAGCCATAAAGTTAGACAAATATGGAGGAATGAAAGGTGATGTAACCATCTGCTTGATTTTCCCCCTCTAATTTCTGAGAGAATAATGGTTAGAGAACATTTCATCTCACTTGAAACATCGTTTGTGGGTAAATGATTCTTAGGCGCTCACTTGGTCTGAGTTCAGCTGAATGCAGAAAAGATGGGACAGGGTGACATTTCTCCTCTGTGTGGCCTCCAACTGAGCCTGTCTCTGAATTGTCCCCTCCCCACAATGTTAGCACTCACTGTGTTCCTGGCACGCTGACCTCACCATGTCCCCAGGTCTCCAGTCCTCTTGCTGCCCGTGGTTCATAGGTCACAGAAGGCAGCAGTGCACTGACTGGGCCACATCTTGAAGACTCGTGGAAAGGAGAAGAGAAGGGGCTTTGACCACACACAGTGATGCCTCACACCCTGAAGGTGGGGGATTTTATACCTGTTTGTACAACTTTGGTCTTGATGGGAAAAACAGAAAATTAAAAAGTGTTTTGAGAAGCTTAAATGTTTTATGTTATTTTTCTTGTATTCTTTATTCAGCAAATATTCCCCAAAAGCCTAATATGTGCTCCATGCTGCCACATACAGGGGCAATTGGACAGACGAAGAGGACACCCTTATTATCTAAGCGTGTGGGAACTAGACTTGAGCCAAAATCCCAACAGCTCGAACTCAGGGCTGGGTCAGAATCGGATCAGAATCAGGTCAGGCAGTGGGGCTGCCGTGAAGGGGATCCAGTGGGCAGCTGGACGTTCCAGAGGATTCTGGTGGGAAGGAATGTCGTCAATCTGTCTGACTTCGAGGGCCTGACTGGGAAGAAGCTGAATCTCTGTAGGAGACAACTGTGGGAAAGCACACTGCCATAAACAATATCATGAGAACTAGTCTACCCTAGAAGCAGGGGTGGGAGGAGGGGGATGAGAGAAGATTCGGGCTGCCTAAGCTACTTCCTCATGGCCATGACCCCCAGCATCGATTCTGTACCTTTTTTTTCCTGTCCACTCCAGACAGACAACCCTGACTGGTTACAGCGATGCCAGAAGAGCCATGGTGGAACTGAGATCACTCAGACTAGTTTTTTTGGGTGTGGAAAGAGACATGGGTTTGGATTGAGCAGAATGTTAAGAACCCTGAGAACCA